CAGGGTGCCGGACTGGCAGCGCCCCCTACTGCCCAACTGGAACTCAGAGACAAGCAGTCAGGGCTGCATCCCAGCCCAGTGCCATGCCGAGGGGGCAGGGCCACCCCTAGCTCCAGCCAAGCGCACCTGCCAGCTGTGCAGCTCGGGGCCCTGCTCCCAGTAACCTGCCAAGTCAAGGGCAGATGAGGAATCAAGGCCCTGTGACTGACCGTCCCAAGGCCCAATGGGGAGAGGCCAGTGCTCCAAATCAGCATGATTAACAGGGCAGGCAGCCAATGAGGAGGGCTGGGAGCAGGCCAGTAGGGGAGTAGGGGAGCAACCCAGGGAGCTGTGCTGGGGGCAGAGCAGCGTAGGCACCTGTCCCTTCGCTCAGCCCCACTCCAGTGAGGGGGGGAGGGCACAGCAAGGGGAACCTTGCAGGCCACCCTGGGCGGGGGACTGTGACCCTGCTGGAGGCTGGGCAGGAAAGAAGGGCCCTAGCACCCAGGGCTGGGCGGGACGTGCCCCGGAGCAGGCGACAGGTCCCCTCCACCTTTCCGGGGCGTCCTTCGGTTTTCCATTGGTTGCTGCTTAATACATGCTGTTTGCCAGGCCTGCAGGCAGCGGGCCAGGGACGCACCCAGTGGAGCCCCCGGGGCGGGACGCCACAGCCCCTGGCCAAAGGACCCACAGCAAGGCGGGGCTGAGGGGCTGGGAGAAGGCAGGGAGCGGGGCGCAGCGAGCAGCCGGGAGAGTCCACTGAAGCCATTCCCTGCTTACCCGGGGCTGGGATGGCAGGGGCTGTCAGTGCCAGCTCCCCCCAGATACGAGTCCAGGCTTATCCCAGCCTCCCCTGTCCCTGCTGCACCCCCTCTGGGGTGCCCCCTGAATTCAACCCAAATGGAGAGTCTGGCTTGGATGGGGCTTCAGGAACTCAAGGATCTGGTCGGGGCTGGCATGTGAAAGCACCCAGGGTGGTGTGAATGGCTGGAAGCTGCTCCAGGCCCCCGCCGGGGCCCCTCCCCCCCCCCGCCCGGCGGCCCGC